TTTTTTTTTTTTTAATCTGTAAAAATGGGGACGATAATGCTCATTGGAATTTTTGTGAGGACTGGAGCTGCAAGTAAAACCTCTAGGATAGTGCCTGGCACACCGTGAGTGCAGAGTCAGTGTGAGCCACTGTAGTAATGGGAGAAGGGGCACCCTGGTCATCTAGGCTGGGGAGGTGTTCTCCAGCCCCTGGCAGGCCAGCTGGAGGTGGAAATGGCCAGGGGGGAGGCTTAACTTCCAGGAGTGGAAGGATTGGGAGCAGTAACTCATGCACAGCGTTCTGTGAAAATACCTTTCCTGGACAGCGGTAATACCCAGAGTGGCTGCAGCTTCTGTCACAGTTACTGTCTCCTGGGGGTCTAGGAATGTGTCTTTGAGTCAAATGGTTTTGCTGAAAGCCCATCCTAGAAACAGGCTTCAGGGTGGCGTCACAAATAGGTTTTGTCTTGCCAAAGGAAAGCACTTGTTTTGTTTAAGGAAAGCTTTCATCTTGTGAAAGGAATCCCCTCTCAAAATGACCTCTCAAAAAGGTCATTATTTTTGTCTCTCTACTGTCCTAATTTATAAGGCGTAAAGAGAAAGACTGAAGAAGGGCGAAGAAGGAAATGCATGTGTAAAACAACAGGGCAGGGGCGGGATTGGTGTAAGTTAAGAGGACGCGTGGTGGCCAAGTTTTGGTACCAGCTGTTGGCTTTTGAATTTTGGCAAATCAGGATTCTAGGTGGTCCATAACCAACACATGGACCACTCTTGAATTACGTTGTCTTTGAAATCGACTGTGTTAATCAGTTAAGTAACCTCTGCGAATTTTAAAATAACATGCCACTTATGACAAAATTAGATAGTTGATGTACCAATTAAGTGTTGAAAAATGATTGCACCATAAAACAGAAATATATACCATGTTTCCCTGAAAATAAGACACTGTCTTATATTTATTTTTTCTCAAGAAGACACACTAGGGCTTTATTTTCAGGGGATGTCTTATCTTTATTAAGTATAATACAACAATCTACATTTATTCAAATCCAGTTAAGTCATCTTCTTCTGGAACCTGACAGGGGGAGCCGACCTGTTGGTGGGGCTGGAGCCAGTGATGCGTGAACTCCTTTTCCCTTGCCATTCACACCTGCGCAATAGGATGCCTGCCACCACGGTTACCACATGCGCACTGGTGCAAGTGTGAACGGCTCGGAGAAAGGAGCTGTGGCAGATAAAAGGTATTCCAGTCTTCCTTACAGCTCTGTGCCAAAATGCAGAGTGTGGCTATGCAGTGAAAGGGTATTCCTTTCACAAGATGGAAGCTTTCCTTAAACAAGGAAATAAGCTGCATAGCCCATCACTAGGTCTTATTATTGGGGTAGGGCTTATATGTAACAAATGCATAGAAATCCTGCTAGGGCTTATTTTGGGGGTAGGTCTTATTTTTGGGAAAACACAGCAATAACAACATGTTGAATATTAACAGGGATTTTCACAGGTTTGACTTGTTTCTCAACACAGTTAAGACATTAAGAAACAGTGTACTTGAGACAGATACTGAAATAAGCAGCTGAACAAGACCTAAGAATTGGCCCTCGATTCTAAATGTTCTTATGAACCTTGTCAATAAAAATATGTCCAAAATAAAAAGGCCTTTTAAAAAAGCAGATGTCTCTCTATAAAGGGAGTGGGCTGCCTTGAATGCTCAAGAACATTCCAGCAGAATCACAAGAGAATGGCTAGGTAGTGTGGCTTCCGTGCTCAAAGGTAGGTTAGACTGAGGAAGTCCCTGGAGAGAATGGAGATGGAGGAGGAGATGGGTGAGGTGAGAGGACATGGATGGTGGAGGGAAAGGACGGGGAGGGACATCCCCTGAGGGCTCACCAGGTTCCAGGCCCTGCGTCCAGTGCCTCACACATCTTAATTTACTCTTCTAGGAACTGCATTGGTTCCTGATGCAGAAGAGTCATCATTGTGCGGAGGGAGGGAAATGGGGCTGAGGGAGGTGGAATGATTGACCAGGGCCATCCAGCCAGTTCATGGCAGAGCTGGTGTGTCTCATCTCCAAGTTCATGCTCATGCTTATTGGTAAGACAGGAAAGTGAGAGATACAGAAGGAAGGCAAAGCAAACGTTTGCTGTGGGTGACGTGTATAAAAGGGACCTGTGTTAGGCATGATAATGGCCTCCCAAAATGTCCATGTCCTTCCTGATCCCTAGAGCATTTTAATGTTATTTTATTTGGCAACAAAACAAAACAAAATAACACCCCCCCCCAAAAAAAAAGCCTTTACAGATGTGGTGAAATTAAGGATCTGGGGATGGAGAGATGATTCTGGATTTTCTGGGTGGGCCCATTGTAATCAGAAGGGTCCTCATAAGTGAAAGAGGGAGGCAGAAGAGCCAGGGTCAGAATCATATGGAGGGAGGACTCCACTGGCCACCACTGGCTTTGAAGATGGAAGGGGACCATGATCCAAGGAATGCGGGTGGCCTCTAGAGGCTGGAGAGGGCAAAGAAGGGGGCTTGCCCTGAAAGCTCTAGAAGAAATCGGTGTCTTGATTTTATTCCAGAGAGACCCATTTTGGACTTCTGGTTTTCAGAACTATAAGGACTGGGCAAAAACATGTATGTAGTCTTTGCATTCCAGGAGTTTATAGTCTGCTACGCTGAAAGAGACTGGAAGAAATATGCCAAAATGCTAAGCAATGATTAAATGTAGATTTGGGGTGGAAAATGTAATATGGGTGATAGTCATTTCCTTTTTCATACTTTATATCTTAATTTTCAAAGATAAACAATTAAAGATTATTACATTGTGATGTTATAATAGAGGGATGTTCAATGTACCTGTGTGAACCTTGTGAAGGTCTTGGAGAGGGTATGCCCTTTGAGTTTAAGGATGAATTTGCTAAGAAGGGAAGAGAGGTGTTACAGGTAGAGAAATGGCTTTTGCAAAAGCAGGAAGGGAGGACCTTGCCCTTTATTCTAAATGGTTCATCATTTCCATGGATCTAACTCCAAGGGACGAATCTCTAGCCAGCTCATGCCTGTGATCCTAGCACTCTGGGAGGCTGAGGCAGGTGGATTGCTTGAGGTCAGGAGTTCAAGACCAGCCTGAGCAAGTGCAAGACCCCATCTCTACTAAAAATAGAAAAACTAGTTGGGCATCATGGTGGTCACCTATAGTCCCAGCTACTTGGGAGGCTGAGGCAAGAGGATCATTTGAACCTGAGTGTAAGGTTGCTATGAACTATGATGCCATGCATGGCA